ATTAGGAGGCGGACCCAAAGCCCGAGTAGTGATGAGACCCTGCTTGACCAAAGAGGGATACAACTCGGTAAAAGTCATTGGAATCGGCGGACAAGGCTTATACGTTCTTCTATTCGGCATATTTTGGCGAGGAGCCGGACTCTTTAGCTGTTGAGGAGCAGGAGTATTGGGCGCCTGTAGGTAGTTGACAGGAGGCGGATAAACAGGAGGTTGTTGCATAGGTTGATACATGGGAACCTGTTGATTGAAAGAAGGTGTAATAGCTGCCACATAGGGTTGTTGAGCATATTGGACTGGATACCCTTGAGGTTGAGCATAACCTTGCGGATGCCGATAAAAGCGTTCCCTTGGTCTACCAGAGGATATAGCATTAGTCTCACCCTCCTTCTTTTTCTGGGAGCTATACGGAGGTTTCTTCGGCTGATCCTTAGAAGCGCCATGATTATTTGTCATTTTACCACTCTTCATACCCAATTCAATCTTGACACCCACAGCAACGATGTCGGAGAAATTTGAAGTCACACTACCCACCATTCTCTCATAAAATTCTGGACGGACTGGGTCGACAAACCAATCAGCTAACTCTTTCTCGGTCAAAGGAGGTTCTACCTGCGAAGCAGTCTCTCTCCACCTTTGAGCATACTCTTTGAATGACTCAGAATTCTTTTGTGACATACTCAGCAACTGTCTTCTGTCAGGAGCCAGATCCATATTGTACTTGTAGTGTTTGATGAAAGCGTCAGACAAATCTTGAAAACTCTTAACGCGAGACTGGTCTAAAGTTAAATACCACTTGGAAGAAGCACCCTTCAAACTGTCTTGGAAGCAATGAATCATCAGTTTATCATTCTCAACATGGGCAGCCATTTTGCGATAATACATGATCAAATGACTCTTAGGACAGGTGGCACCTTCATAGCGATCAAAGTTCGGAGTTTTGAACTTCGGGGGAATAACCAAACCTGAGACCAAACAAACATCCCTTGCGGCAGTCCCAAAAATTTGATCACCCTCTACCTTTTTCAATCTCTGGACGATAGTGTTTACTTCCTCACGAAGCTTATCATGTTTCTCATAATCCTCAACATTCTCATCAAGATTATCAAAAGCTGTCTCATTGAAGTACGGTTGCGCACGAGTGTGTACAACAGGTGGTGCAAAGATAGGAGCCCCCCTAGAAACTTCAGAAAACAAAGGCACGGCTTGCTGAACAGGTTGATTAATCGGAACAGTGGCTTGAGGAGGCACAAAACCCGGAGCAAGACCATAAGGTGGGTCCCTTGCTACGGTCACACTTGGTGGAGGGTCCACAGTAACGCCGGTAATCTCGGAAACAACAGTGGGCTGGGTATCCATCTTAGCATTCATGACATGTAACAATTCCATCATACGCCCCATACCCCCTCGAAGGTCTTCAAGTTCATTGCTAAGGCGATCAATCTCTTTTGCCTGATCCTCCATTCTTTTCCGAGTTTGAGCTCTGGTGTTGTACTGGTGCCGAGAACTCAGGGTGACGAAACTGGAAGGTGAGAGAACCGAGTGTGAGAAATCGGGAGACACATGCAATGCAAAAAAGTAAATGATGCTAAAATGTGGATGAAGATGAAGATTTCATGGAATTCAAAACATTTACTAATGTCGTGGGGTACCAAGGAAATCTTTTTTTTCTTGTTTTTTCATTTTATATATTTTTTTTTATGGTATCCCGCGATATCCATAAATGATGTTTGAACTCCAAGAAATATAATGCGATGAGATGCTTTATGGATGCAATGCATGAAAACACACAAAGTCCTAGGTTAAAGGCTTGCATGAGGTTCAAAGGCAAGTACCCTCCCCTGAAGTTAGATGGTTCATCCTGTCCTACAAAAGTAACCAGGTTCTAAGGGATCTCAATATCATTGATCCTTCACAAGGGTGGTTGTTCAGAAGGCAACTTACTTGCCAACCAAAACCTTCCAAGTTTAAGATCTCAATGAGCGTAGTATCGAGTGTCAACCAACTTTAGTCTGCACCAAAGCCGGTTACCTCACTACTTTCTAAAGGCCAAGATGAGTTAACTAGGGTTCTAAAAGTCAGTTAGTGCGTTGACTACATATGGCAGCCTCAATATTATCCTCAACTTGACTTAAGGAATATAAGCACCAACCAAGAAGTCGCACTAACTATGGCCACCAGATCAACCGTATCGATATACGTCGTACAGTTTCCTTGGTCTATTGCCATTTACCTAAGGTACACTAGATCCGGGTTAGGACCTATCTCACAGCACAAGGAACAGTCCCACAATCAAAGCGCAAATATATACATGCAAATGAATAATAACACAGATAGTAATAAATATGAACAAGTTAGGGATAACCCTCAAAAGTTTAGCAAGTCCCCAGTGAAGTCGCCATTTTCTGTTGCGGTGGAAATAGGATATCAAATATTAATTAATTTGAATCACAATTCAGTTCACAACCGCTCTTTGATTTATCCGAAGGAAAAGGTCAAAAGAGGGAAAACCTATTTTGCATCATAAACACAATGCGGGGAAAGATCTAGGGTTCGGGGGTTGGTTAAATTTAGGGAAGGTATTAGCACCCTAAACTTCTGTAGTACTCTACAGGAACCTTTTGTTCAGATGTTTACTATTTGCTTTATTATTCTTAAGGTATATGTACAAAGGATTAAAAGTGAGAAAAGAGACCTAAGGGGTTAATTCTAAGTTTACTCGGCAAGACGTCGCATCTTGTGCCTACGTATCCTGGATAGGGAATGGAATCAGAGTAATCGTAGTTCCCCTCAAAAGGGAGGTTAGAAACGTCTTGACTGTGGTCAAGGTTTCAATGGGGAATAAACGTATCTTAAGGACACGCTTACGTGGAGTCTTTGAAACTCCAATTTCTATGTTGAATTTGTTAATTGAATTAAGGTTAAATTAGGGATTCCACGGCGGGAAACCCTAAACAGAGCACGACGGCTCTTTGACCTAAAAGCTAGGGTGAAGGGCGTTTTTGTCCACGGCGGGACACCTAGGTTATTAGGGTTTGAAACGGTCAAAAAATTAGGGTTATTGACTCGGCGGTCAAACGGGTAAACCTAATTCCTTCGGAAAGATTCTAACGGTAAAACATGCAAGCAACAGAATTATTACATGGTAGAAATTAAAATGCGGAAAGTAAAGAAAGCGTCGCGACGATCACTTGCGTAAATTACAAATCCCAAAAAATGCGAAATAAAAATAAACCGCGACCATGGCCTCGCGTAAATTACATCCATGGAAATAAACAAGAATAATAATTGCGACGATGGCCTCGCATAATTACAACCCAAAGAAAATAAAATGCGAAAAGTATTGGATTAATACCCAAGGACAAAAGATGAAAATTAAACGGGAATATTAAGCATTTTTATTTTAGTATTTTTTTTAACTAGAAGATTGGAATGAAAGTGTGAAATGTTAGAAATTTAAAAATAAACAATGTTAGAAATGTTAGAAATTTATTAAGAAAAAGTTTGAGTTAAACAGTTAGAGTTTTAATAAAAAGTTAGAAATTTATGATATGAAAAAATTGAAGTGCTAGGATCTTAATTTAAAAAAAGAGTGTTAGAAATTTTAACTTAAAGAAACAATTAGAATTTTAATTACATGAAAGGTAAACTTTAATTTAAAAAGAAATGAGGTGTTGGAAGTTTTATTTTAAAAAAAAGAAGGAAGTTAATTTTAATTTTTAAAAAAAAGAAAAAAAGAGTGGATTTTAATTTTATATAAAAAAACTAATTTTTTAAAGAAAGAGTTAGAATTGAATTTTTAATTAGAAAATCAAGTTTTATATTTATTTGAAAAAGAGTTAAGAAATCTTAATATTAATTATAACAAAAAGAGTTTTAATTTTTAATTATAACAAAAAGAGAAGTTTTAATCTTAATTATAAAAAATAGAGAATTTTTAATTTTAATCAAAAAGAAAAATTGTAGAACTAGTTACTACCTTATAATATCATTTTAAGTTAAATAAAAAAATGAGACAAACAAATCATAAATGAAAAAGAAAGAAAAATAGAAAACAACAAAAAATAATAAGAGGAGATAAATTGGGGGAGGGTTACGGTTACAAGTTTTTTGCATGGCCACGATCCCTTCTTCTTTTCCTGCAAAAAAAAACATCAAAAGAAAACATCCGTTAGAAATAAGAGTTGCTCACCTTTCCCCGGTTTGAAGCGGCTTTTCTACGGTGGAGTTCGTTGATGATGAACGATGATGTTTTTTTCAAAAATCTCCCCTATTCTGATAAGTCGCGAGAACGGCCGCCGTTTTTCTCTTTTGTCTCCTTCCCCTGATGACCTGCTCTTGATTTTCTGATGTTGATGAAGTTTCCTCTCATCACTTATGTTTATATAGGTAACAAATTAGGGTAATCTCTAACCTAATGCCCACCTTAAAGGCCCAACTTAAATAATTAGTCAAAACTAAATAAAACAAATTAAAACAAACTTAAAACAAACAAATTAAAACAAACTTAAAACCCTATTTTTTTACTAAACATAATAAAATCTTTTCTAATATTTTTAATTTTATGATTTTTGGATGTTTTTATGAATAATATGGAAAAAAGTGAAAAAATAATATTTCTTAAAAATAATTTAAATTAAATACGAAAATAATAATTAAATAATTAAAAAAACTATTTTTGTTATTTTTTTTTTATGAAAAATAGAAAATTTAGAATAAACATAAAGAAAAAACAAAAAGTGAAGAAGGTAGGAATCGAACTCTCAACCTCTCACACTCACAACTCCTTACACACAGTCTCTTGCCAATTGTGCTATTTTATTTATTCGAAATAAAGTGGCACTAGAAACCATGTAAAGGTAGGACAAATTTGTGGTACTACATGCGTAACCTGTTAATAGTTAGCTGATGCAAAAATGAGATATTATGCGACATGAATTGACTAATCTAAGGGTAAAATTTGGGGTATTACAGAAAGCAAATGTGCTCTTGTGTATGGTCAAATGAACGAGCCACCTGGTTCTCGTGCTCATGTTGGACTTACTGGACTCACTGTCGCTGAACACTTCCGTGATGCTGAAGGACAGGATGTGCGTCTTTTCATTGACAACATTTTCCGCTTTACTCAAGTATGGACAAGTTATCTACTCTAAGATATCTTCTATATCTCAATTGATATTCATAACATGACATATAATGCATGATGCATTTGCAGGCAAACTCAGAGGTGTTTGCTTTGGTTGGTCGTATCCCATCTGTTGTTGGTTACCAACCAACATTGCTCTTCTGTCCGGTGCTTTGAATGCACCGATGATTTTTACCGGCCACTCACTTGGTCGAGATAAGTTGGAACAATTTTTAAAGCAAGGCCGGTTATCAAGTGATGAAATAAACTTAACTTACAAGATCATGCGTAGGATAGAAGCTGAAGAATTAGCCCTTGATGGTACTGAAATTGTCATAACAAGCACTAGACAGGAAATAGAAGAACAATGGCGCTTGTATAATGGTTTTGATCCATTAGTCTGCCTTTATTTTGAACTAAGTAATTTATAGCTGGCTAGAGGTAAAACATCATTTTGATATTGATATACATTAGAAATTTGTATTGACTATTGAGAGATAGTAAGTTCATTTTTCTCGTTTGGTTACTTATTTTGAGTCTTTTTAACCTGACACTTGAAGCACAACGTCTTGCTACTTAGTTTTTACTTGATAGGGTTATCCATGAATAAATTATCTATTTTTTACTTTTTATTTTCATTTTATTTTGACTTGGGATGAGACCTAGAGTTTTGTTTTCAAATATTGGTATGGCTTTCTAGTTTGTTTAGGAACATAATAGCTTTATTTTATATGTGTGAATATCATAAATATTGATGATTGCCATTAATGTAACCACATAATTTCAATAAATTATAATTTAGTATAAGCCCGTTGTACATATTATTTCAAACATTGTGTCCAACCACTATTTCAATAAATTAATGGAATTTCTAGGTCAAAAGGAAAAATAGTCATTTTACAAAAAATGGTACTTCATTCATTTCATAATGGAATTCCTTATCCTTTTGAGATTAAAAAAGATATACGGGAAACTACTTAGACCTAACCTATAGAGTTATGGGAAAAAAAGCTAATGTGGTATTTAAGTGATGCAAGGGCATTTAGGAAATTTCACATGCTTTAAGTGAAGGGGGAAAACGGCCTTTTGGCATTGGTATTATATAGGTGGCTTTCTCTCTAGAAGAAAATAATTCTTCCTCCATCCTCACCATTTCTCTTTTCTTGTCCACTGTTTATCCCCCTTTATCCACATTCCTCCATAATACTCATCAAATAATTAAATGAAATCAAGCAAGATTTAGATAAGATTAAGTGGATGCTATTGGCAAGAATGAGAAATTCAATTGATCATCTTGCATGTTTTAGAAAAGAGGTTTTTGATCACTCAAATGGAGAAGGTTCATCTCATCATCATTAGATTTTTTAAGGTGAGTTTCCTCTCCCTTACGCTATGATTATTGCCAAGAACACCAACTTAGGTCATGCATGTGGTAGTGAATCTTTTGAGTTCCCTAATTGATGAGTATGTGTTAGCATTTAGGAATTGATTGCTTGAAATGCTAATAAATTGATATAAATTCCATATGGTTTTTGTCGTGGAAATGTTATTTTCTGGTTTGATGTCTTGTTGAGTCGATTCAAAAAGGGTTAGAATTAGATCATAAAATATTTCAATCGATTGATTCAGGAGAGTTACCTAGCGAAAGGTTTATAGAGGATGTTGGTGTCACCATGTGCAATGTGCAATGTTAGATGACATGCTCAGATAAGCACAAGGCAGTGAACTCATAGTCATTGTGAATCTGACCTATGATATAAGGGAGTCGTGTGAGTGATGCATGTACATCTCAGACCAATGTCTTTTGTTTTTATTTATTTAAATTCTAGAAAATCATAATATATACCATAATGTATATGCAACCATTGAAGTCATATTTGCTTTTCTATTTTTTGGTATTTCTTGTTTATTTTTTAAAGCATATACATGCATAATATTTTGCTCCTATTATTTTTAAATATAAGGAATGGTATTCTAATTAATAAATTATTTCAAATACTTATTTTATTTTCTTAATTTAAATATAAAACATTTTAAATAGCATAAATTTAAATGTAATATTGTGTCTAGTTTTCTAACTTCGAATTTTTCACCCAAATAACCATCTTTCCACACAAATATTTCCAATCTACCCATCATTTCAATTTATTTTCCAATCTACCCTAGTTTGGATTTTTTTTTTATTTTTTTTACAAGGGGGCGCCATGGGGGATGGAGTCTCCCTTATAACTTGTATGGGGGCGCCATGGGGGTTGGAGCCACCCTACAAATTATAAAGGGGGCGCCATACCCATTGGAGCCTCCCTTAAACGAAAATTAAAAAATATTTTTAATGTTTAATTAATTTAAAAATATTAAATAAATAATTTTTAATAAATTAAAATTTTTTTAAAAATAATAATTTTGTAAATAAATAATAATAATTAGTATTTTCATATTTTTAACAATTTATAAATAAATAATAATTAATATTTTCATTGATAAATTCTAAACAACAAATAAAAATTAATTTGAATTAAATAAGTTTAATCACATACAAATGGCTACATTTGAAAGATCTTGTACACTAATTTCTACGACTCGGTCGATTTAAATGTCCGCCTGTACCGCATCCTCGATTACGCACGTTTCTTGGTGGTCTTTGTGGTGGAGTCGGGTCCACTGTGTCGTCATCAAGCATTTGCATCACTTCGGCCCATGCAGACGGATCCATATCCGTTAAGTCATCCAAATCAAAAGAGTTGCCCATGCCTTCATAGTTAGTTTGGGGTGGTTGGCTAGACGAGGCAATGTCAGGACGATAGCCTGCCTGATCGTAGGGTGGGATGGGTGTAAATGATTGGGTGGGTATTGGTTGATTGGGTGTTTGAAACTGGGAGTATGTGTGGTATTGTGGTGGATGTTGTTGGTATTCGGATTGTGAATGAGTTTGTGTGAATGGAGTGAATTGGTTAGGAGTATGTTCATATGGCTGTGATTGCGTGAGTGGGGGTTGGAAATAGGGTTGAGTTGGGGGTTGGAAATGGGGTTGGGATGGCGGTTGGAAATAGTATTGGGTTGATGGTTGGCATTGAGGTTGGGTTGGCGGTTGGAAATAAGGCTGGGTTGGTTGTTGGGGCCTTGATGATGAATCTTGTTGGCGTGGGTCATTAAGATGCCTTGGATGTGAAATGAAACCAATTGATACAGACTTATACCAAGTCATGTATTGTATAGATTGTTTCATCTCGTATGGAAACACATTGTCGGACAAAACATAGTTGGTGCGATGCCTCCATTCACGACACTCGTGTTTTGCATACTTGGTCCACGGATTATATTCTCATTGATCGGAGACTTTACCGTTGTGATATTTGTCTGGTATGCACTTTGGGGGACATGGAATATCTTGAAGCATTCCAAATTGAAGTTTCACACGATCACTGTTGTGCATTTCAACGGTGGTGAAGTTGATAATGGGCACCTTTGCACTCCACACCGCAGAATCTTGTCGTTCAACTTGATGAAATGCTTCTAGACCAAGATACGGCCGCCAAATGAACTGAAGGATGAAAAAAAAAGTTTAGTATTTTCTAATAATATTTAAGAAGAGTATAACATTAATAGGTAGGTGAGTGAGTTTACATCTTCTTGCGCCAAGTGATCAATAAGATTGCGGTACTGCGTTATACTGAAGTGGGGACAATTGTCATAATTCATTCCAAGCGAAGACCACCTACAAATCGAAAACAATAAAATTTATTAATAATATGCTTAATAAATAAAACACTTTGATAGATGAATGAGAATTGGAAAAAATAATTACCTTCTAGCGAATGGGAATTCAAACTGATTTTGTTGGATAGGTGCTAGATTGGTCATTCTTGACCAACCCCAAGATTGTAGAAGAACACCACATCCGGTCCAATTTCCGGTATTGGCTATTGAGTTATGACATAAAGAATGATATAGGTGCGCTAGTGTAGCGGACCCCCAACTATATTGTTTTATTTTATCTACGTCATCTAATAAAGGTAAGTACATAGAGTGAACGACGCTTCCACTTGTATCCGAACATAAAAATAACCCTATTAATAGCATTATATAAATTCGGGTTTTTCTAATTTTTAGAATTTCAGTAGAATCGGGGGTTAATGTCAATTCTCTATAAATTTTTTTGAGCCATGACATTAAAAGTTTTTGTCCCCTCAAATCTCGTGGGGTTGGTTCAACCCCCAAGAGTTCTCTTATGAAATCACCGGTAGGATTGGTTTTACCGTTAACCGCCTTACCATGAATGGGTAAACCCAATAACATGTATGTGTCCTCGAGTGTAACCGCACATTCACCTATTGGAAGATGAAATGTGTGCGTCTCGGGTCGCCACCTTTCTTGCAAAGCCAAAATAAATTTAGAATCAATGAGATAATTTGTTATCTTAACGACCTCTCCAAAACCTGCTCGCTCCAAAAAAGGTTGAATCAACGGATCATGTGGGAAATATTTATGCCCACGAGTACGAAATTCATGAGTATCCTACAAAAAAAATAAAACATATCATTAGAACATTGTATTTGTTACAAAAAAAAATAAAACATGTCATTAGAACATGCCCACGAGGATGAATTCTTACACATGTCCTACTGCATGCATGCATAAAGTAACTTCTTTTACACGTGTCACAGGGGCTCCATCCCCCACGGCGCCCCCCTTGTAACTTAAAGAAGGGGCTCCATCCCACACGGCGCCCCCCTTATAACTTAAAGAAGGGGCTCCATCCCCCACGGCGCCCCCCTTATATGTTTTAATAATATTTAATTCGTGGGATTTTAATATATATGTATACATTCAAGCAAAAGATAGTATACATCCCTTAAACTATCATTCAACCATGTCTAGAACATCCAATTACATTGTTCATGCCCATTATAATGGAGAGACTTTCATTTCTGAGAATTCCGGTTTCGGGTTTTAAAATACTGATCTTACCCGATTAACCATGAGTAGAAAAGCAAATTTTGTGCATTTCAAAGAGCGCATACAATCGAAGATTTTGTCTGGTCAAATCTCCCAGATCATTTACAAAAGTCCTGTTTTTTTTGATAACAATGAGGTCAAGTATTTTCAAGAGAAAATACTTGACAACAGCGATGTTGATCAAATGTTCGATAGTCACGAACAATCTGGCCTCGACTATATCGAGGTTTATCTGTTACTCTGCCAAACTGAACATGAGGTTGGTGAAACAACGGATATAGATGAAATTGATGTTGTGGACGAGGAGGAAGAAGATCCAGAGACCATGGTTGATCAAATGGTTAATTTGTTCGGGAGCGGGGACTACACTGCAATGACTCCCCTGCAAGACATAGATGAAGAGGCCCTACCATTAAATCAAGTGTATTGTCCTCCTCAACACATGACGAACTTGCAATGCAGTGGCGAAGATACTTCCTCAGATTATTTCTACAATCCTTCTCAACAAATTGAAAGTGTCTTGAAAGTCGGAAACCAGTACCGCACGAAAGAGGAATGCATGAAAGCCATAAGAAAGTTTCATATGGATAACTTTGTTGATTTTTACATCAATCGGAATGACTCAAAACGCTATGTCGTAGTTTGTCGTAACGCAAGTTGCAAGTTTCGGTTAGCAGCGTCCTATCGGAAAAGAAGTGATTGTTGGGAGATAGGTTCGATGGATCCACCTCATAGTTGCACAACCAACATCAATCGGCAAGATCATGGAAAACTAAGCTCTCAATTGATATCCCAAGAGATTTTGCATCTTGTGGGCGCGGATCCATCTGTGAAGGTCAGCACAATTATCTCTCATGTTGTTGCACCACAACCCAACTTATGTCTGATTTCTGACAGACATGCTTCTATTGTGAGCGCCTACAACAATCCTGCTAATGGTTGGCACAACCCTCCTTCTGTCCATGTCTTCTGCATAAGACACATTGCTCAAAATTTTATGCGGGACATTAAAGACAGAAACCTCCGTAAAAAAGTTGTGAACGCTGCGTATGCCTTAAACCAACCATCATTCATGTATTACCGAGAAGAAATAAGGTTGTCAAGCGCGGAAGCATTAAGGTGGGTGGATAATATTCCAGTCGAGAAATGGACTAGGTCATTTGATGGAGGGTGTAGATGGGGTCACATGACCACAAATCTTGTAGAATCCCTAAAGGACGTATTTAAGGGAACTAGGAACCTCCCCATCACAGCGTTGATAAGGGCAACGTATTACAGATTGGGGTCACTATTTGCAGCAAGAGGCAAAAAATGGAGCGCTGTACTGCAATCAGGGCAAATATTCAGCGAATCAAGCATGAAGTATATGAGGGATGAAACTTCTAAGGCGGCCTCACATCGAGTTAGACCATTTGATCGTCACGATTACAGCTTCATTGTTGATGAGACAATGGATCACAACGAGGGTCGGCCAATGGGACACTACAGGGTGGAACTTCATAAAAATTGGTGCGACTGCGGAAAGTTTCAAACCTTCCGCATGCCTTGTTCACATGTCATTGTCGCATGTTCAACTGCTCGTCAGGATCCATTCTTGCAGCTATAAGAAGTTTACAAGGTCGTCAACTTATTCGGTATCTACAGTAGCAGTTTTCCAGTGGTAGCTAGTGAGGACTACTGGCCAACCTATCATGGAGACACAATCTACCACAATGAAAATATGAGAAGAAACAAAAAGGGCCGCCCCAAAAGCACCCGAATCACAACTGAAATGGATACAGCTGAGAAAATGGAAAGACTGTGCGGAATATGTCGTCTTCCAGGGCATACGAGGAAAAACTGTCCAAATGTTGGAACAAGTTCTAGGTAGATTTAATTTGGTCTTTAAAATTTGTGTAATCCTGCAATTTAATATTTATATCAACTTTTCATTACCACAAAACCGAATTGAATTACTTCTACAGCATAAAACGCAAATCATTAAAATACAACGATTATTACAACATAACCTAAGATATAACAACAATCAAAGTAATATCATCAGTTCCGAACATCATAGACCTAACTTCGTTGTCATCTCTAATTCGCACCCAGTCACGCCGTATGTTTCCGTCTTCAACAGAGAAGTACGAGACAAGTCTTTCAATACTCCTGATTCTTTGACCATTTGGAATGTCTCCTTCTAGCCACCGATTCAAATTTCTTCGTAGTTGTTCTAAACTCTGAATGTTCCAAAACAACATTCTTATCGGAGGCTTCGTCGGAGAAAAAATTACATGCCCATATCTTCTAAGGAACATGACTCACTCTTCTAAATTTGGATGAAACAATGTTAGCAACATGTCTACCTATTTATAAAAAAAATTTTGGAAAACCATAATATAATATTTTAATTATATTCATTATAATATATTTAAAAAATTAATTTCGTTTACAAGGAGGCTCCATAGGGGATGGCGCCCCCCTTTAGGGCATTTAAGGGAGGCTCCAATGGGTATAGGCCCCTTTTATAATTTGTAGGGTGGCTCCAACCCCCATGGCGCCCCCATACAAGTTATAAGGGAGGCTCCATCCCCCATGGCGCCCCCTTGTAAAAAAAATTAAAAAAAAAAACCAAACTAGGGTAGATTGGAAAATAAATTGGAATGATGGGTAGATTGGAAATATTTGTATGGAAAGATGGTTATTTGGGTAAAAAATTCTCTAACTTCGTCCTGATCATTACTTATATAAATCGGTGTTCAAGCTTTATATTTTTTTAATATGGTGTTTTTAACAAAATTTGTCATTTGAGAAAGGTTGATAACTAGAAAATAAAATATCAATTTCAATACGATGTTCTTGAAAGACGACCAATCCATATCATCCAAGTTTTAGGAAAAAACATATGGAATATTATAGCATATTAATGTGTACTACTAATTTATACTTTTGGATCGGAACGGAACTATAAAGGAACATTTTCAAATTTCATGTTGTATATATTCCGGATCTTCTTAACGTGGCTTTAAAAAGCTAGATAGAAAATTCGTAACATGTCATTTATATGAAAAATGTTCAATTTATGACCAGTTGCATGTGATTAGTGGGTTCAGAACCATTTGTTCAATTCATGGATTCGAAAGATAAAATGTTAAAGCATGTTAAATATTCTTACACGATCTATCAACTTTTAGTTATCGAAGAACACGAGATGCCAATAAATATACACAAAGGATCTTAATCCGGCATGAAAAGAAATTAAGATATTTGGTGATTTTCTTTAACCCAAAATTCTGTTCGCAAAATGTAAAAAAAGAAATATAGATTTTATAAATAATGAATAGCATTGTTAAAATAAAACAGACTATCTTCAACTTTGTCTTAGTAATATTCAGTTGCTGGAAACAGAAAGTTGATTCGAATAGGTCAAAAACACTTTAATTTTATTTTTTTTATAAGCAAATGAATTAAACGGTACAAAGAGTATACAATTTAGGGATATAATCGAAAACAAACAAAACATACAACTGGACGCCCAAAACAAACTAACCTAAACCCGATGTCGGAGTGACACACCACTCCGACCAAGATAAATTACAACGTAGTTTAAGCACCGCCATAAACCAATCCCACATGCCACAACAAAAGTTTGATCATACCCAACCCATCAAACTTGACCAACAATCAACCCTAAACAAGGATAGAATTTCTACACGCCCAAATAGTCCAACAAATCGCCAAGTCGAAAATCCACCCGGAATCCACCTTTAGACTAACTTTCATCGAAATCTCAAGAGCTTGAATGTGATCGATATGAGATAAGGGAACTAATGGCCTAACAATCTGCAACCAATCATACAAAAGACTCCATCAAACCTCCGAAACCGCACAACCTTCAAAAAGATGATCTGAAATCTCACTTACGCCACCACACAGAGGACACACAAAGTCAGCGGCGGCTGAAAAAGCTGTAAAAGACCTCCTAGAGGCAAATTTTATTTCGGAAGCCCGATATTCAACCTGGTTGTCCAATGTTGTACTCGTTAAAAAGAATAATGGAAAATGGCGCATGTGTGTTGACTATACCGATCTCAACCGGGCATGTCCTAAGGACGCCTACCCTTTCTCCAACATCGACAAACTCGTCGACAACTCCGCGGGCTTTAGGCTCCTGTCCTTCATGGACGCATACTCGGGGTACAATCAAATCCCGATAGCCGAGCACGACAAACAGAGCACGACCTTCATGACGGCGTCAGACAACTATTACTACAACTTAATGCCCTTTGGCCTAAAGAACGTTGGCGCCACGTACCAACGAATGATGAACAAAGTCTTCCGGGGCGAAATAGGTGACATGCTCGAAGTGTACATGGACGACATGATCGTCAAATCCTACACGGAAGCCGACCACACGGCCCATCTCAGGAAGGTCTTCGACACCGCGAGGACATGCCGAATGCGCTTCAACCCGGAGAAATGCACCTTCGGTGTCCGCGCAGGAAAATTCCTCGGCTACTACCTGACCGAGCGTGGGATCGAGGCAAATCCGGACAAATGCCACGCCTTTTCAAAAATCACCACACCCACCATGAAGAAGTCCATCCAATCCCTTAACGACGTGCTCGCCTCACTTTCCCGGTTCACCGCCAAGTCCGCACAGCACACCCTTCCCTTCTTCAAACTACTCAGGAAGGA